GGGTTTCACTGTGTTAGCCAGGATGGTCTCGATCTCCTGACCTCATGATCCACCTGCCTTGGCCTCCCAAAGTGCTGGGATTACAGGCGTGAGCCACCGGGCCCGACCACCATGACACATTTTTAGAAGTTGAGTGGCCTCTCACACCAGAGGCTGCATGTCTTGATAAGGTCATAGAGTTGGTGCAGGGACCACATCTTGTACTTCTGTGTATCTTTCATCCTCCAGGCGTAGTATCTTACCTAAAAGCAGAAGCGTAATCCTGTGTGTTACCTAACAACTTCATATCCACCACCACACTCAACATCATCTGATTGCATTTAATGTTGCAATTAATGAATGAGTTACGTTAGTGCATGTTTATTCACTGCAATGAAAATATAACTTCAAAAACTTCTGAGGGAAAAATATCAGGAGATTGAAAAAGTATTTCAGGTATCAGTCTGATCTAATAATTGAGTTGACTGTTGTCCCAGCTAAAGGTAGAACTTTGCCAAGCCTACAGTCATTGACTGTGAGACTAGACTGCCACACCTAGCCACATAGGTTATTTTGTATTTCTAATTGTATAACATGTATCAATTATATACAACTAATTAATTATATATAATTCTCTATAATTAATTATAATTAATCATACAATTAAAATCTATTATATACAATTAATATATACTATATGTTAACACATGTATACATTATCATTTAAAAAGCCAAACAGTTCACATAAAGCACAAGTTCTAGTCACTCTCCTCAATATTTGTCCCCATTCCAAACCTAGCCTGTACCCTATATCTAAGCATTGTTATTAATTTGAGTGAATCCTACCAGACATTTACAGATATATGTATCTATTTAAATCAGTATGCCGTAAGTGGAAAATAATAAAGATTAACAATGCCCATCTCCTGCAGATATTAATTCTGTACCTTGTACTTGGTAAAACATTTACTTGCACGAATGAAAATATTCAATTGTGTCACGAGTAAATTTACATTACATAGGGATATCTTTCAAAACAGTTTCTCTCCTGTTTTGAATTTCAGTTATCTTGAATTGTCACTTGCAAAATAGGGAAGTTTCTTTTTAAATCAACTTTAATTATTTTTTAATGAAGAGAAGTTGATGGCTTATAAATTTTATTTATCTCTTTAAAATGCTTATACATAGGTTGTTTTAAAGGAAGCAAAGGTTATAACTGCTGCATAGCTTAAGAAAAACTTTACAGAATGTTTATTGGAAAATACCAGATTATTTAGGCAGTTTAAAACTAATATGCTCAGGTATTCAGTTATCACAGGTAGAATGAGGGTTTCTTCCTTAATTACAGTTTACTTCTGAGGTATAGTTGCCACGACTTTGAAAAGAACCATGCTTGAATAGCACACAGAATTCAGATTCAGATTCACAAAGTTTTCCTCTCGTATCTCTTCAAGTCTTTTACACTGTGCTTCAGAGTTTGCAGGGTTTCTTGCCTAAAAGCAAAAGAAAACATTGATGTAGAGAAAGTACAGCCTGTAGACATCGCCAAAAGGTTGTCTATTGAAGATGGTATCACAGTGCCACTGTAAGCACATCTTCGTTTTTGAACACCAATACAATCTTTCCTTCTTCCTCAAAATAGAAATACACTGTGACCGAATATTTATTCAGCATCTAACAACATCCAACAATTAAGTGTATTTTGACTAGGTAATTTTCTTCTCCTTTGTTAATAGAAATAGATTTAATTTTTAGAATGTCATTTTCTTGCATCTCATCGAATGTACTGTCATACACTATAAAATGATGTTGGGTCATATGTATCACATGTCTGTAATTCAGAAATGCAAACCTTTGGACACTGACTCAACATCTGGAGATATTTTTTCTGGTTCTTATGGCTGGTGTTCTCCTACAGCTCTCTACGAGCAGTCTTGTGAGGCCCACAAGCACCGAGGGAACCCGTCTGGGCTTTACTATATTGATGCAGATGGAAGTGGCCCCCTGGGACCATTTCTTGTGTACTGCAATATGACAGGTATGTTGATCATCGTTAGATGCATATATCAGAATGGACCAAGGAGAAATTTACCTATTTGGCAGCATTCTGAAAACATGCAGTTTGATAGTGTGTACTTGCTAAGTAGAAGCATTAAATATGTATTTGTTAATTTTGTTGTCAACAAAATTTTCTTGTATTTCTTGTTTGCCTGGGTTGGATTATAGGCAAGATTTAATGCTTTGCCAGGGCATCTCTCTAGCTCCTGCACTCCTCATAATACATCTGTTCATGTGCATCATGATAAAATATAAACCTCTGATTTGGTGATTTACATGCTTTCTATATTTGGAAAAAACAGAGGTCTTTAAAAGTGCTAAGAAATAACGTATATAGATATGTTAGTGTTTTATGTGCATCTTAAATAATTTAGTGATTTTTATGGCATATAATTTTTTCATAACCAAGGAAAGTTGGTTATTTCTTGTGCTTTAGATATTATTAGAAATGAACACAGCTTGGGCTGGGCGTGGTGGCTCACGCCTGTAATTCCAGCACTTTGGGAGGCCTAGGCGGGCGGATCACGAGGTCAAGAGATCGAGACCATCCTGGCCAAAATGGTGAAACCCCATCTCTACTAAAAATACAAAAATTAGCTGGGTGTGGTGGCGCCCGCACCTGTAGTCCCAGCTACTTGGGAGGCTGAGGAAAGAGAATCCCTTGAACCCAAGAGGCAGAGGTTGCAGTGAGCCGAGATCGTGCCATTGCACTCCAGCCTGGTGACAGAGTGAGACTCCATCTCAAAAAAAAAAAAAAAAAAAAGAGAAATGAACACAGCTTGATTATAGAAGATTGCACTAGAATGCCTTTTAAATAGTTACATTTTCACAGAAATGTGTTGTCACCTCGCTCTTCCAACTCTCTGGAAGGTGGAACTGTTCTCATTTGTTGTGCTGACCAAAGATTTCAAAAGTTTCATAAATTCGGACAAGAACCAAGTGGATCAGCAAGCACCAAGGAAAAAGGAGCAGATAACTGAAATCACATGGTCATTTAAAGTGTCTTAGCAAAGACTGGCAAAAAGTATTAAAACTTTACGGGGGACGTTCAGAAGTTTCAGAGCCACCTGCGCAGCAATGTGCTGAAGATAAAGAAACACAGATGTTCTGCCAGGAGACACCAGTTACCTCCAAAATCCCCCGATTCAGACAATCAACCCAAAGTGAGAAATCCCATAAAAATGGTCTTGGTGGATATCAAAAGACTCAACCAAAGTCACAACCAGGAAGGACCTTGGTTGTCATCATTTTAAGATGAGGAAACCAAGGCTCAGAAAAGTTGGTTAGGGATGTATCTACTGACAAAATCTGGCTAACAATAGAGGAACCACTAAACTCTAGTCTCTTTTCTCCCCTAGAAAAGGTTACCTTTAGATACTGCATTGCTCTGTAGCCAGTAATATATTCTCTAGTTGTTCAAATGAAGCAATAATGATTATAAAATGCACAATGTCAAACTACTACTCTAATAGCTTGAAATGTATGTATGGTAATAGCCTTCAAAAAGCAGTTGCTTCAGAGCTTGGAAGTAGGCATTCTGTCTTAAGAACAAGTAAAAAGCCAGGCAAACTGAAAAATCAACAAAATTTTTTAGGTGCAGCAGAGAAGTGAGGTCACAGAACAAACCGCTGCCCCCCAAAATTGGAGAGACAGGCAGGCTTATATATAGAATGACAACTTTCTTCCACAAGCAGAAACCTTTGGAGAAACCGTCGTCAAGGTAGGAAAACCTACACTTAATTGACAAATTGCTGGATGCTCAATGTGGACACGTCTGAGAATTAAAAACTCCAGGAAGACCCAATCAGGGAAGGGTCCCCACACTTCTGTGAGTTTTACACCTAGAAGCTTGACCAGGTTCTCACAGTTAATGCTGGAGAAAAATCTCCTCATGCTTCCAGAGGGGGAGGTGAAAAGGAACCGTCCTGAGGTACACCAGAGCTTTCTGTTCTTCTGAACAACGTCTTTCCTCAGGGCAAATATTTCACCTAAGCTACTGGCGTTTTGTTTTGTTTTGTTCTGTTTTCAGAGCCTAACATGCCTGGAGGAAGGAAATTACCCACCTCTGGCCATCCTGTCCCATGTGAGGGTGGTGATGGGAGGGAGGGCTGAGAAGCTCTTGTGAAGGTCACAGCCCAGAGGCACAGGCTCCCTAAAGGACTCAGCCCTAATCACAGGACTACAGAGCCTTTCGCCTTCCAACACATGTTACTTGTAGTACTGCAGACCTCTTTACAGCAGTTACTTTTCCCTGGTACATCACATCTGGACCTGTAATCCCATCACTTTGAGAAGCTGAGGAGGGAAGACAGCCTGAGACTAGTTTGAGACCAGCCTGGGCAACACAGTGAGACCCTCACCTCTACAAAAAAACAAAACAGGCATGGTGGCATGTA